TAAAAGGGCAGGGAAATGGGTAATTTCGATATGAAAGGGCTAAAAGACGCAATTTTAACAGTATGACTTCCTGGTTTAGTGATTTATTCTTGTCTAAAACCGTTCTTAATTAGTATAGGTATGTAAAAGAGGTACGTACTCTTTGCTGGCAGAAGGTATATGAAAGGGTTACCCCAGATTTCCGTCAAAAATAGTATATGAAAGTGAGATGCACTTCGACGAGAAGGTCACACACTTGGTACAAATTTCTAGTCCTCATTAAATCTTGTTTAATTCACAGTTTCCTTTCACCGCTCCTTCACGAGCAAATTCAGATACATCGACGATAATCGATACTTGAAAAAACTTTTTTGTGCAACCGCATCAAACTGAACCAACAAACTACAAAAGAGAAAAATAGAATCCACCCAAAAACATCGATCGACGCTTAGGCTCAAAATTCAGTGTAACCGACGGCAACAATCTAAAGTCACGTGTTCGAAAACAAAGAAAATACATTAACATAATTAAAAATCGCGAGAGAAAACGCGACAGAAAGGGTAAGGGGCTGGTCGACTTCGGGACGAACCCTCCTCGTATAAAACTTTATTGAGTGTGCCCGGGCTGCCACTTATCACTTTTGCGCTCAATCACGCAAATCATGAGATGATTTCACATCTCACGCTCACGCTTATCACACACACGCTCACATTAAGTGTCTTTTTCGTTTGGGGTGAATCTTTTTCACAGGAATTTGAACGGTCATTTTAGCGACGGACAAATTTGCGAGAAAGAAATCATCTGGAGACTTAATCTCGTGCCCAGATCTCTTAGCGACGAGGCTTGAGGCGACAGATCTGGCACGATATTACTGAAGTACCTAAAAGATGATAAAGAGCGTTTTCACTTACGTGGCCAGCGTCTACGCAAATTTACTGGAGCAAAAGAAAACGTCTACATAATAAAAGAGTTCATGATCAACTCCAGCAGGATTGACTTGGAACACCAACATGGCCGTTATTTCGTTGTTTTGGAACACCAATTTGGCAGCCGTGACGTCATGTGAAAACGTTTTATTAGGCCCTAAATGTAAACACGGCATGGTCCCACTAACAAGGTTATAGAAAGAGTTACGTAAGACAGCTAAGCTCTTTAACGCTTTCTCTCATAGACGAGGTCATCTCACAGAGCGACTTGTACAAGGCTTACAGTCACGTGAACACTATCGTCTTTTTCATTGGTTACCCACGAAGTCGTCACAGCCTCCTCGGTTCACTATTGGACGCTCATCCGCACATGGTTATTTCAGACGAGACAATGGCTTTTAATCGATGGAAAGCGAGAACGGATCAGTGGATGCAGCACTCAATATACGCTTATTACGACACGATGTTTAGTGCTTCACATCGCGCTGTTTTACACGGTAGAAGATCACGTGTGTTTAACGATACCGTCGTAAACAAGTCGTCCGCATACGGATATTATGTACCGAATCAATGGCAAGGAGGATTCGACACGTACATTGAGGTAAAACAATTGTCATTTTTCTTTTTTATGTATCATGCCGTGAGAGTTGTATTGTTTTATTGATTTCCCAATTGGACAATTTGAATACGGGCTTTAGAGATCGTCGAGAGGGCGTATGAAAATAAAAACCGCGGGGGATTTATTTACCGCTAGCGCAAGGAAGTGGAGTGGTCGCTCCGCGTAAAACAGCCTCTCACAAGCATTCTTTCATCAACAGATAATCGGTGATAAGTCAGGAGCCTTTACTGCTGGTGCGATGACCTCGGACAATGGAGTCGATGCAGTTCACCTTTTGGAGGAAGCTTCCGGAGCCCAAGTGAAATTTGTTCATGTTGTGAGAAATCCCTTTGATAACATTGCGACCATGACCCTACAACATAAACAGCTCAAAGGCCGGGATGGGACTCATGAAACAAAGGTAAGCTGCAGTGACGTGTTTATAACGTACAGGCTCTGGATCAAATCTGAGTCCGTTCAACAAAAAAGAAAAAGAAAATAGAAAAAAAGCAGGCTAATGAACAGTATGGCAAATTCGTTCCCAGGACTTTAAGCTGTTGTGAGGGAAAGGCCTCGGGGCCTGGGAACGATTTGTAGGATAATTATAATTCGGCCTAGGGTGGATTTATACTGATGCGTAATTTTTGCGTGCGTGCACACGTAAATTTCACGCGACAGTGGAAATCCACCTTAAGAGAAGAACTGATTGAAACAAAATAAATAGATAAATAAATAAATGCTTTTTAAACATATTCGTCCCCCGAAATGACTGAGATGGATAACCGAGGAAATAGTCTTACCAGAGGATTATAAGCACTTATCGTCTTATCGTTTCTTGTTAACATAATCATCTTCTTTCTGATGTATTTTAGCAGATCAATGCTCCTGAGATACTTGACGAAAAAATAGGCCAGTATTTTAACTGGGCGGATGGATGCAACAAAGCCAGAATTTCCTTTCCCGGCCGAGTTCTAGACATCCCTAGCATGGAAATAGTGAAAAGACCAGCGGACACTTTGAGAAAAATATGCGCGTTCTTACAAATCACGTGCTCGGAGAACTATATCCTGGACTGCGCGAACACTGTAGACCCAGTTCCTTCTATAACACGTGACTTTGTAGAATGGACTGAAAATCAAAAGAAAACAGTGAATGAACAAATGAAAAGGTTTTCTTTTTTTGAAGGTTATTCGTTTGACAAGTCTGAAAAGTAAATGTTGCTGGTAGAGAACATTTCTGTTCTTTTGGTAAAGTTGTTTTCTTGGTAGCACGGATAATGGTCAATTTCTCTTTATTATTTTGAAAGAAAAAAGAAGGGTCGCTAGTTCAAACAAATTGAACTTAGGCCGCGTTTTGATAAATTATTTGACCTCTATGTAGCCAGATCACTTCGAAAGTGGTTTGGTTTTAGGTGAATGAATGGATGAATAAGTCTACTGACCTAGCAACTGACTTGATACTACAGTCGAGTAGAGAAAGCAGTTCAGTTTGGCTCGAAACAAGCGCGACAGGCACATAACAAACTAGCAAGTGCGTTAGGGTGTTCAATATTAGAAGTGAGGTGAAAGATAAAAAGTCACCAAAGTGGACGATTCATTTTCAAAATCATTAATAATTTATAAAGAAAATACAAAGGAAATTAATGTTTAAAGAGTGTTTGGAAATCAGATGAAAAACCGTTAATTTTTGGATCCTTAATTTCTCCTTCTAAAATCATTTTGTTTGAGAAGGAACATCAAGCATTCGACACAGTGTTTCATCACCAGATGGAACACCACGAAGTTCGTCAAAAGTACTCCGCTGCGCGTCGTATTTTCAAGTCTCTTCTCAGTGTTTCATTTGGTGATGAAACACTGCATCTCATCCTTGATATATAGACGTCTATCGTGTTAATCTTATGCGACAAGCTCGCAAGGATGATCAATTATGTATGGAAAAAAAAAAGGAAAGTTTGTAACAAAATAATCACTTCTATCCAGCTTTGCGTCTGTTCAAAGGCCAGGACACTGAGCGCACAACCGTAAAATGGCCTACTTAGCTCCAAAAAAAATTTCTTTGCCTTAACCTGAGAAGACAACCGACATTTTGCGACAACTCCGCTGGTTTTCCGTCGAAATAACTTCTGAGTAAGGAGGACAGATATTTCATGCTGATGCCGTGTGACTACCCAGATCTGGGTAGTGATTCTGATTAGTTGTGCCGCGCGAGAAATTTGTTTCAACCGATCAGAAACACTATCCAGACCCAGGTAGTGACACGTCATCAGTATAGAATTTCTGCAGGCGCTTAGAGAAACTGATTCCCAGGGTTCTCCTCTTCCTAATTCTCTCACGCCCAAGGTGACGGGAAAAAGAGAAGCACTAGTTTGAAGCTACCAATACCGGTGTTGCTTTCAACTACTCGCTTCTGTCTCTCCATGTAAGGTAATTTGGATTCTGTTATCTGGGAATTTTTGTTGGTGCAATCCGGAATCCTTAATCCAGGAATTTACTTTTCTTGTGGAATCCGGGATCAAGGGCTTTGGAATCCGGAATTCACCTTAAGGAATCCGGAATCCCGCGAACAAGTTACAGTCCTTGGTTCATATAATTATTTGTGAATTTTTGGATGATTTTTCGAATGTTTTTAATGTGTAAAATGTTTTTCTGCAGTGACTCTGAACATGTGTTCACACTACTACAAAGAAAATCTTTTGCCAAGTAAATGTTTTAATCAATAATTTGTAGTTAAAAGTTGTTTAGTTGTTTTTGAGGGCCACAACTTTATCAGTTTTTTTTATAACTGTCACGTGTTTACCCTCTTTAAATAAAGGCGTTACCTTACCTTACCTAGGATGACTAGTGTCAAATAATGTACGAATGTCAGTGTTTGTTGTTGTGTAATAAAGTAGACAATTGTACAGACCTTTAAGTGGATCAATTGTACTTGACGTATTATTGAACTTAAAATAAAAGGCCACATGAGCACCCTTACTGACACAAAGCATTGCGTTTGAATGGACGGACTTTTTAACTTTTACAGCTGATCATTTGCTACAAAGTTACTAATTCTAGTAAATTTGCTCCAGTCTGCCTCTTCCTTTTTAGCGAGGCGTTTCTGTACCACGTGACACGTGCAAAGGGCCATGTGACCAGGAGGCGCGCGCTAGTTTGAGCAAACTCAGTCTTGACAATCTTGGATTCTGGATTCCACTCCATTGGTTCTACATTGCGCGAACTGGATTTCAGATTCTTTGTCATTGAAATTTCCGGATTCCAATCGTAGAGGCATTCCAGATTCCTTGAGCTGTATTCCAGATTCCAAAGTCCAGGATTCCGTATTCCACAAGCAAAAATTTCCTGGAATCTACATTCCACAGGCAAAAATTTCCTTGATTCCGAAATCCTGATTCCCCTTTTTTTATGGAGCGAGTATTTGTTTAAAATTAAAGCATTTTCGCTTAGGTGATTATTTTATTAATTCTCATAACTCAGTTGGTAAGATTTGCAATTGGTGCGTTAAGTGTTTTTATTCTCAAAAAGAGGCAGCATCGGAAAATCTTCGTTGGTTTTCTTTTTAAGAAAAGATTTCAACGCCGTTTTAAAATCTCGCCTGAAGAAAGTGTACAACAAAGGATTGAAGATTGAAGAAGTGTATCTGACAAGAACGAATACATGCGAGGGAATTTCCAAATTATCCACTTTGATCTCGTGTTTGATCCTATGGAACAGTGTTAAGATAAACCATGGCAGCCAACAGGCCAGGAAAAATGTCGCCATTAAAGCAAACAATATCAAGCACCTTTTCTCGGCAGCAGCTTGTCGACGACTTATGTGTGGCCTTGAAGAAACATTGTCTTTGATTTTGCTTGGACTTGAAATCTTTTTGAAGATAACCACAAAAGCGTAAATCATGAATGAATATGGCAGCAGAAAGACTGCTACGAGACAAAGTGCAATATGCGCCAGCGAGAACTTTGCTTGAATATCTCTGAATTCCAGGTGAAGCCAAGAAAAAGGAATAAATGCTACAATGACGGACACCAGCCAAATAATTATAAGTACTATTGCAACTTTTTTTACTTTTATCGAACGGTGTCTTACAGGCCATATTATTGCCAGGTATTTCTCGGTGGTCACTGCAAGAATGTGATAACAAGCCGATATCGCAGTCAGATGGTGGAGAACGCCAACTAGATAAACCAGGTAAAACTTTACCTCACCAGAGGCGATGACTGGTGCGAACGCAACGATGATGAAAAGTGGGATGTTTACAAGCCCGTTCATTAGATCACAAATAGCTAAGCTTAAAAGGACGTAGTTTGGTGGTGTGTGAAGCTCCCTTCTCTTTGAAAATAAAGTCAAAACCAAGCCATTTGCAACGATGATCAGTAAGGCTAAAGGGAGAAGTTGTGCGATTGCTTGGCCGTTTACTCCTTTTGCGTTTGGGATGTTTGGTGACACTGTCGCAGTTGAAATATTCATCATCTTAAGCTTCTCGAGGTCCTCTTTGATTTATTTCTCACTTGATTGCGCGTATCCTGCAATCAATCAATCAATCAATGATTCAGTCAGCCGACCAAGTTCGTTCGTTCGTTCGTTCGTTCGTCCGTTCAATCAATCAATCAATCAATCAATCAATCAGCCAATCAGTCGATCGATCGATCAATCAATCAATCGATTGAATCGATTGATCGATCGATCAATCAATCGACCCATATATTTTTCCAACCCATCTATCGGTCGGCTAATCAATCGATAGCCAGCGAACGCAGACGTTTTTCCGGTCTTCCACCGACAAAACACGCTGATCTCCACAAATTTCCGTGAAGAAATATTTGAGTGAACTTGATAAAAGAACAAAGTATTTTCCCTTTGGTGATGATCTTCCTTTTAGGAGTGTAGTCTACCGCGAGTGTAACCTACACGGTATCAGGTGTGATGGACTGACCGCTAGCTTCGCCTGGAACCCGGGGGGGGGGGGTACTTGGGTATTTGGGTATTGGGACTCCAAATTGGCACCCCGCTCTAAAAAATACCCCGTATACCCCGTTCTAGAGATGGGCCAATTTTTTACACCCCGTTCTAGAATTCGCCCTAAAACTGATACCCCGTTCTGGAAATGGGCCAATTTTTTATACTCCTTTCTAGAAAGTTTGAAAATTGAAATAGCCCTGTTTTTTTAAAAAGATATTTCTTTATTTGTTCGACTTATACATCAAATAAATGCTTCTTCATAATCAGCAACAATTTTAAGCAAAAGATAAAGCCGTGATCCCCAATTTTTTATACCCTGTTCTAGAAAACGCCTCTGAAATGGATACCCCGTTCTATATCAGGAGCTTCAAAATCACGACCCCGTTGGGCGGCACATACCCATATAGGTAATGTATGGGAGTACCCCCCCCCCCGGGGCCTGGAACAGGATACCTCTAGCTGAGGTGCTCCTTCGACCTGGTAGCAAGAGCCCTAACGGTTTCTCCCACATAATCAGGATTCAAGTCTGTAGGGTTGGGATCTTATCCTGTGCAATTCTCCTGTCACGTGACCGTCCTACTGACACCTGATTACGATGTAGTCATGAACTCATTTTCGGCTAGCCTGAAAACAGGCCTTCGGCCTTTCCCCAAACAGAGAGCCCGTTCGCAGGCTAATTTTCGACTGATGAAAGGTAAGCGACTTAGCTGAAATGTTCCAGTCTATAATTTCTTCTCATTGATGTTCACAAAACGCGAAATGAACTTTTCCGCTTCAACTACTTTCATGTTAGTCATCAGTAGCATGAAGCTCATTATATCGGTGCAGGTGTCAATATAATTATACTTGAATATCCATTACCAAAGCCAAAAGGAAGCAAAGACTAAAATGTTTTCAATCCCAAAAGCAAAAAAAAAAATGGAAGATTACATGTCTACCATATCTTTGAAGAATTACAATTGGTAATTCCTTTTTGAAGACTAGGACGAGAGATAAAGTAAACTTTGTACGAGTCCATTATTTCACCAAGCGAAGCGACTATAAGTTATGTCCTTCCAATTATACAAGACCTATATTTAAATATCCTGTTAACTCATGATCATGAAGGAACAAATATCATAGCACGTCTTACTCGATTTACAACTGAAAAACTGATGCTTTCTGGAGGACAAAATTAAAGTAATTTTAAGTCTACTGGTTCACTTTATACTACCTTTCACCGAGTTGAGCCAAACATTTACAATATCCTGCACATTTCTAATTCTGTTGATTTATGGTTTTAATTTTTTATTGCGATAGTCTACATAAGTTGTATTCGTTCTCAATTCACGGAGAGCACTGGTCACTGGCTCTAGAAGTAGCCGTAAAAAACGCTTCTCAAGCTTTCTCAAATGTTTGCGCAATGTTGTTTTGCATTCTAAATTTCATCAAAATTCCGCCATCGCTTTTCGCTAACATTTCGGAATTAACAGCATTTTCACTTGGAATGGCTAACGTTCTGGTGATAACATATGCATTAGGGAAACAATGGTAGCCGCAAAAAGTATCTAAAATACAAATTTTGGGAACATCAGAAACTCAAAAATGAGAAAACTTACCTTTTTTACTGCATTTAGATAGCTTGCAACTCAAGCGTAACAGCCGAAGAACGAAGTGTCGATAAGCGAACCGTGTATAATTTTAAAATACATCATATGCACTCGAAATAAGTCGCTTGAGTAATTCAAACGTGACTGTGTCTAAGGATAAATGAATAATGTGGTACAAGGAAATGTTGAAAAAATGAGAAATGGATCGAAAAGTGAGAAGTTACAACTCGAAGATTTTTCAAGTGTCCGTGGCAGCCGACGAAGCTAAAGCGCTTCAGTAGTTTTATGGAAATCTTTCATGTGCGCGGCATATGATGTTTTATGAAAGGGATAATTTGGATTTATACAATGCCGGGTATTTGCCTCTTTGCTTGAAACAAGCGGCCTCGGATTAGCCAGGGGATTAGCCAATCATTTTAATCCTTGACTATGCTCAACCCTATTTTTGATTGGGCGGAAATAACCTGTACATATGTTGAAATTCGTTGTCCCCTCAACGTAATCGGATTGGATGGTTTGTTTAAGCACGCCAATGAATGCAGAGGTTCATTTCTAAAGAAGCTTCAAAGCGAAGCCAAAATGATCTAAATTAGAGCCAGTTAAATGAAAAAAGCCCGTTCCGATTGATATTTTCTGTCTTACCGTGTTTATTCGATTAAACGCCGCTGCGTTTATTACATTTTTATATATCTTTTCCGATGCATGCGGCGTTTTAAAATCACTTTTCTTAAATCACTGACAACGATTACTATAAATTACAAAATATAATACATTTGACTGAAGTATTTATGTGTATTTGCGGTTGTGTTTGAACGTTTACAGAAGATCGCCATTCAGCTGGGGTAATCAGGGGTATGAACGAATACGCAGATTAATTTGTCAGTTCTTTGTTGTAGATACCGACGGAACAGCGAGGCGGCTCAGCTTCTTTGGTAATGCAGGGCAGGGGAAAATGACGAAGCATTTCACAACTTATGCAAAGACGAAATATCTCAACTACAGTCACACCCCGTTAATACGGACACTAAGGGGGTCATAGAAAGTCTCCGTTTTAACGAGGAGTCGGTATTTTAAAGCGGGATGAAGTTAGAGAAAATGCCCGGGGATGCCCCGCCCCCGGGAGTAAATGTAGGGCCTTTTTTCCCCCAGGGACAAAGCAAACCGTCCGTGATAATGAGGTGTCCGAAAAGCGAGGTTTAACTGTATTACAAAGACTAAGCAATTGCTTACCGCTTGTTGTGTCTTTCGATTAAACACCGCGACGAAGCAAAAAAAAACCACTCCAACGGATGATAACTGCTTTATGCAAAAAATCTGCGAGAAAAAAAAAAATCTCAATAGTCCAGTTACGAATTAAAAATTACCGCTGAATACAAACATTAACGACACATTCATACAGGGTTAGCCTCGACGTTAAGTAAAATATTCAGAAATTCTGGCAAGTAAGTGTTTGAAATTTGAATATACACAATAGACAGAGTAATAAACAGGTCTTTTTCTCGTTGGAATTTGTGA